ATATAAACGAAATCTTCAAAGAAATAAGAAAGGAATTAGTAGAATTAAAGAAGCAGCAGAGAAAGTAAAATGTGAATTATCATCAAATGAAGAAAGTGTAATTTCATTACCATATCTTGATAGACAAGATTCACTTGAAATTACAATCAGTAGAAGAAAAATTGAACAATTATGTAAGGGAATTTGTAAAAGAACAGAATATCCTTGTCTTCAATGTATGAAAGATGCAAAATTAAGAAAAAAAGACATTAGTGATGTTGTACTTGTTGGAGGAATGACAAGAATGCCTTTAATTCAAAACACTGTTCAAGAAATCTTTGGAAAAAAACCAAGTAAAAATGTCAATCCAGATGAAGCTGTTGCTATTGGAGCAGCAATTCAAGCAAGTATTATTGAAGGGAAGAAAAAGGATATTATCTCTTGTTGATGTTACACCACTAACATTAGGAATTGAAACATATGCGAGGTGTGATGACACCATTAATCAATAGAAATACAACAATCCCTACATCAGTTTCAAAGGAATTTACCACATCAATGGATAATCAACAAGAAGTAGATATTAAAGTGTTTCAAGGAGAACGTAGAGTTACAAGAAAGAATAAAAAGTTAGGAGAATTTAAATTGGTTGGAATTCCACCAGCAAAGAAGGGAGTAGCAAAAATTGAAGTTACATTTGACATTGATGTCAATGGAATAGTAAAAGTCTCTGCACTTGACAAAGAAACAGGAAAGAAAACAGGGATTCAAGTCAAAAGTAATGGTGGATTGAATGAAGAAGAAATCAATCGACTAGTTAAGGAAGGAGAAGAACATGCTGCCGAAGACAAGAGAAAAGAGCAATTACTTCTTCACAGACAACGATTAAAAGAAATGATAGAGAGTGCAGAAGACATTCAAAAAGAGTTATTAAAGAAAAAGATTGAAACACGTGAATTAGAAAGAGTTATTAATCAATCCAAAAAGGTTATCACATCAGAAGATGAAAATGAAATTAAAAGATTGATTGAACAATTAGGAGAAGAAACATCAAATTCTTCTGCTAAATTATATAATTAATTAACTTCTATCTTTTTATTATGATTTGTTTTAATTTTCAGTATTATTTATCTTTATTTTCATCTCATTCATCAAATATCAGTTATATTTGTTATTATTATTATTCAAGTTTTTAGTTATACACTACTTACTTTTTACATGAAATACATGAATTGTTGATGTATTTTTTAAATAACATCTTTCATATTTATTCTATTCTTTGGTTTTAATTCATTTTCTCTTCTTTCATCTAATTCAATTCATGTGTTTTGCTTATTTCATTGTTGATATATACACAACTATTTAATCTTTTGTTATTGACTTATGCTTGTTCTGTTGTGTCGTTCTCTATAACTCTTTGCTCATATGTTAGAGTTGTTATCTCTTTTTGTTTTTACATGAGTTTTATAGTTTATATTCATTTAGAATGAATATTCAATGGTTTTGAGTTTATTTCTGTTTATTCATTATCAATTCATATTACTAATTATCGTAAGTGAATAAACAACACAATAGTAGTTGATTGATTTATACTTTATTTCATATTCTATTTTCACTTATTATTCATAGCATCAACATTTATTATGAAAATAAGCATTAAGAATTATAGATATTGATATGTTGTGATGAACATCATTATAACATAAATATTTTCTGAAA